TACTACAAAACTGAAACAGAATTATCAAATTGGGAAAAAAAGATTTGCAGCTCACTAACAAATGGGCTAATTTCTCTAACACACAAAGCATTCTTATAATAACCCAAGAAAACAAACACATCAGCCTTTAAAACATATGAAAAGATTCTCAACTTCACTTATAGTTAGAGAAATGCAGATTAAAAACTACACCAAGATGATATTTTCCATCCTTCAGATTAGCAAAGATCACCATCATATATTGGTAAGTTGGGAAGGAAACAGGCAAAACCTCTATAGAGGGTAACTTGACAATATCTACCCTAAATTACAAATGCACTAGAAATTACCTAAATTATAAATGCAGGAAGATATCCTACAAATACATTTCAATAGGAGTCTTTATGTTGTCTTCATTAGCAATAGCATAATATTAAAACCAATGAAAATGTCCATTATTACATACATTATACTAAATCCATGCAATGGAACAGTATGCAGACATAGAAAAGAAGTGAAAAACAGGCCTGGGGACTTAGCTCAGTAGTGCTGCTGCCTGCCTCACAAGTACAAGGTCCTGAGTTCGATCCCTGGTACCAAAGAAAAAGGTAAAAAAATGACAGTTACAGAAAAGTGTTTATGGGGGAGGTTTTCTACATATACATATTTGCTTGATACATAAAATATGTCTGGAATGATAACACACCGGTTGCCTCTGGGAAAAGAAAAGGTGGCTGAGGACAGGGATGAAAAGGAGACTTTTCACTGTACACCAAAGATGAATACAAATTTTAAATAGAAGGTAAAGAGGCCAATGAGGACAGACAACTGATGTACCAGTCTTTCACTTCACAAATGAAAATAAAAAGAACCACAATTAAAATTCAAACAATAAAAAAAGTAAAAATTTCCTTGTTAAATATTTACAGAGCCTAGCATAATGCTTCTCCCATAGCAGGAGTTCAATACATATTTGTTGGATAGATGAATGCTTAGATGGGTGTATAAAATACAGAGTTTGATGAGACAAGATAGAGTCAGACCGATAGCTTCTTCCATCTTAACCTGGAAATAGGATTTAGATTACACATTTCTAAAAACAATTTAGATTACCCACACTAATAGTTACATACCAATTTACAGAACAAATCATTACTATGTTCAGATAAATAAATTTACTACTGTTTAAAAAAATAAGACATATAAGGAAAAAAAAGATGGTTTTTAAATGTCGATTACAGGCCAGGCACGGTGGCACATGCCTATAATCCCAACACTTGGCAGCCTGAGGCCGGCCTGGGATACATAGTGAGTTTAAGCCTAGCCTGGACTACAAAGCAAGACCCTTTCTCCAAAAACAAAAACAAAAACAAAACCAATGTGAATTACAGAATTCTCAAGTGCAAAGCTAATGTTTAAGCTTTATCTGTAGCAAAACAGCTATCATATAAAAGTTGCACTAATTTTGACATCTCATTTACCAAATAATTTCTTTATTAATGAAGTAGAGAATGCTAGAATATATTTTGTTCCTCTTTTATTTTCCCTGTAGTGTTCAGGCTACAGCCTAATATCAGTTATCATTTAAAATATTATTATAAACCAGGTGCAATGGTACACATCTGAAATCCCAGCTACACAGGAGGCCTAAGCAGAAGAGTCACATGTTCAAGCCTGGGAAACTTAGCAAGACTCTGTCTCAAAATAAAAAATAAAAAGGGCTGGAAATGTAGGTCATCACTAGAGTACTTGGCCAGCTTGTGCAAGGTTCTCTGGTCAATCCCCAGTACTGAAAAAAAATTACTATAAAATTTAAAAATATTTACCACCATGCCTAGAACATAGCAGGCACTCAAAACCTATAATCGAAGAGTTCTATATTCTATTATTATCTTAAACTATTTATAATTAGGACCATATTTCTTTTTACCAATTAGCTCACATGGTTAAAGAATAGTATTACCAATAAATACTGTTTTGACGCTAATAACTTGCCACATTGTGCTTTACAAAGGCAAATCACCATGTTGCAATGCATATATTCTTGATTACTTGGCAACTGTGGAAGGAGAAACAGAAATAAGACAGTTAAAATTTAGAACTCAGCTCTGAACATATCATGCTAAATTCTAACTTAAGTGTTCCTGGTGAAAGATGCTAATGCTGTAGGCTCCTATAAAATAAATGCATTGAGGGTTTTCCCCTTCTGTTGCCATCATCATCCATAGAACTCAGAAATCTACCATCATATTTTCTCTAGCCCAGATGTTTATGTCAAAATACCCATCTCTTATTTCCTTAGCAAAACGAAAATTTTTTGAGCCAAATTTCTCTTTTTGGGTTGAAAATGATAAACTTCACTCCAAGTTACCAGTAAACTGTTTCTCAGTAGCTTCTTAACATCTCCGCACCACATGCCTGGCCTCTAGGGCCTAGTTTACCTACCAGATCAAACATCTTCCCTGATTCAAGTACAAAACACCAAGATAGGTATGGCACTGCACACCTGAAATCCCAGCACTCTGGGAGGCTGAGGCAGGAAGATGGCAAGTTTTAGCCCAGCCTGGGGAATTTAGCAAGACCCTGTCTCAAAAAAATTAAAGGACTAGGGATGTAGCTCAATGTGAAGGCCCTGGGTTTAATCCTCAGTACTCCAGGGAAAAAGAAAATATAAAACATCAAATTGCCTAACATTAAACACCTTTCTTTTCCCCATTTGAAACTTTCCTTGTGAAATAAGGACCACACATTCTAGTGTGACAGGCAGAATAACAGCCCCCAGGTCTGTCCACATCTGTATGTTATTTTACATGGCAAAAGAAACTTGGAGACATGATTAAGATGAAGGACCTCGTGATGAGGAGATTATCACGCTTTACCCGGGTGGTCCCAACCTAATTCCTTTAAAGTGCAGAACATTTCCCTACTATGGTTACAAAGAGGACAGGGTGATTGAAGACAAGGCAGAGAGAGGTGACATTGCCGGTCAAAAGCCAAGAAATGTGGAGATTTCTAGAAGGTGGAAGAGGCAAGAGAACAGATTCTCCCCCACAGGGCTGACAAGAGGAACACACCCCTACTACACTTTTATTTCAGCCTGGTAAGACCAATGTTGGACTTCTGATCTACTGCAAAGTCTATGGCAATTTGTAACAGCAGCAATAGAAAACCAGTAAGTCAGTTTCCAGTTTGAAAATATTCACAGTCTTCATACTCCCCATCTGATTTTCATTGCAATAGTGAGTAATACCTTTGAAACTTAAATGAATGAGTTAGCTCTCTCAAGCTAAGTTTATAGGAAACTTCTAGAGTTTTCAAAAATGATTCAGGCAGCTGTTTCTCTTTCAAGTTGCAAAAATTCATCTAGCTATTTCATAATAGGATATTTCCTTAACCTTATACAGGTTGCATATCTCTTATCCAAAATTCTTGAGACCAGAGGTATTTTGGATTTCTGATTTGTTTGCATATACATAATGAGAAGGAATATTTGCATATAATGAGACAGCTTGGGGATAGGACCCAAGTCTAAACACAAAATCCACTATGTTTCATATTTACCTTATACACACAGCCCGAAGGTAAGTTTATTCAGTATTTTGGGGGTGCCTTTGATTTGACTATGACTTGTCACAAAGGGTCAGGTATGAAATTTTCAACTTGTACATTCCTGTTGGTGCTCAAAAAGTTTCAGGATTTGGAACTTTCCAGGTTAAAAATGCTCAACCCATACAACCATAACATATATACTGAGTTAGCATATATAGCAAGAGGATGGTTATAAAACCTTGTTTCCTGATGAGATTCTATCTCAAGTCTCCTTAGGGATCTTGCTCCAATTCCCTCTTATCTAACAGCAACCCCTCCTCACCACTATGATGGCTACCCTTAGGTTGTAAGGCCCTTAGGCATGATGTGTACATTCAGAGCACTATTTCTCTTCCTTCCTGAACTAACATTTTAAGAAAATCTGTTTTCTTTGTTTCTATTTATTTTATTTATTTTGTAGTATTGGAGATTGAACCCAGGACCTTGTGCATACTAAGCAGATGCTATATCACTGAAGGACTATATGATGCCATATCTATACTATACTATAAGATGCTATATCACCTCCAGCCTTCTACTTCTATTTCTAGCTCTTTGTAGCCTCTCTACTCTCTACCTCCACCTGATGCTGCCCTTAATTCTGATCCCCTAACTGACAAATCCAGTGGACTCTTTTCAAGGAGGGATCCACCTGGCCTCCTCGCTCCCTTGATCTCTGTGATACACTCCTCCCTGGTTCTCTTCCTACTATTGCATGGTTCTGAGTCTCCTTGGCAATGCCTCTTTCCCCTCAACCTGTCCCTAAACCCTACATTCCCAAGCTCCCTGTCCTCTCTCCTCCTTCTCTCTTGTCATTCCTCAGGGAAGTCTCTCCAAATCCTCTCCTTGACACCTTAACCACCCCATCTCACTGGGATATGAGCTCCTCCAGGGTCTCCTTGCTTCCCTGGGGACTCTACCAGAGTTCTTGAACACTGTGAGATGATAAGTGACTCAGCAAACTGACATTTTATAAAGATGAGTCTGGGAGTGGTATGGAGGTGTGACTAGACTGTGCAGAGCTTGGAGGTAGGGAAATGAGAAGACAAAAGTATAAACACAAAATGACGATACAGTAGTCTCCACTTGTCTGAGGTTTTGCTGTCTGAGATTCCAGTTATCTGCTGCCAACTGTGGTCTGGAAATGTTAATATTTGTCTTGACTGTTTCTAGAGAGAGATTGCATTTGCCTAAATTTTATTACGGTATATTTTAAAAATTGTTCATTTTATATCTCTTACCATACCTAATTTATAAATTAAACTTTATTATAGGCATGTATGTATAGAAAAACCCCCAGTATATATAGGGTTTGTCACTGTGTATGGTCTCAGACATCCAGTGGGGGTCCTGGAATTATCACTCACAGATGGGGGTGCTACCATAGCCTGAATTATCACCTCCACAAATGGAAAGGAGGAAAACCAAGGAGAAACATTTCAGAGGCACTGTTTACTGACAGGATTGAGTGACAGAGTTGAGTCAAAGGTTTCAAGCTCCAGAGTTTAGAAAAGTAATAAAATAATGAACAGAAATTGGGAGATCAGGTAAAGAAATAAGGTGTGAGGGATTTGAAGCACTCTGTTTTAGATATGGAGCGTCCAAGCAGAGGTGGCCTCCAGGCATTTGAAGATTGGGCTCTGAAATCAAAAGAGAAATCCAGATTGAGGCTATAGATAGTGTAGGGAATTATTTCCAGAAATGTTATCATGAAACATACTAAAGTTGATGGATATGCACTAGGTAGCTAATATTTGCTGAATAAATTGAATCTGTTTATATTCTTTTTCAAGTGCCCAGCCCAAGCACCAGAACACTCAAGACATTCACGGATACTCCACAATACCTCCTTGTCCCCCATGAGTAGTCCCCAGCTGTTACTTTCCTGGTTCTACTTCCAGATTGTTTCTAGATATCACCAAAAAAGTGATCTCTCATCTAAGGGGCCTCTTCTGACACTCTAAACTTCTTGGAAGGCATCTAATATTAACTTACTGTTGAATAATACTCCAGACAGGTTTTCTTTGTTATTGTCGTTCCTGAGACAGGGTCTCACTCTGTAGTCCAGCCTGGCCTCAAACTCCAGATCCTCCTGCCTCAGCCTCCCTGAGTGCTGAGATTACAGGCAGGTGCCACCTCACCCAGCTCTCCAGAACAGGTTTTCTAAACAAAATATTTTCCATTTTTCTGGAGCCTCCAACCTGATCTCCTTTTCTTAGCTTTAACCTTTGCTCTCATCAATCACCTTGCTTCCTAATTTATTTATAAAATCTGGACCATTTAGTACATCTTTGGGTTTTTAACCACAATTTTCTTGTATTTCCACTAGACCCCTCTCCCTTTCCCTATTGTTTTTTCCAAGGCTTTATCTTCTGTGCCTTTGGCATATTTTTCCCCCTCTAGGACCTTATTCCTTGACTTTCTTTTCTCTACTATCTCTCCTCCAGGCACTCTCTTCCTTTGGCCTACAGACATATCCAAGCCTCCCTTATCTTTAAAAAATTATTTCCTTTACTTTGATTCTCTTGCAGATACCATTTTCTCTGTTTTTATTAATAAGGAATATAAACTTTACAACTATGTGTAGTCTTTGGAGTGATTTGAATTATTGTTTTATTTTATTTATTTTAGTACATATTTGTGTCAGAATTTCCATAATGTCGGTTTCTGTAAGCCAGACTTTTTTGTTTGGTTTGGTTTTGGTTTTGCCTTTGGTTTTTTGAGACAGGATCTCTCTTTAAGTTGCTAAGTGGCCCAGGCTGGGCTCAAACTTGCCATCCTCCTGTCTCAGTCTCCCAAAGTGCTGAGATTACAAATGTGTACCACCACATCTAGCAGTAAACCAGAAATCATTTGATAAATTTATTATAAATAATTTTCAGTATTCAAAAAATACTTATTTGGAATACTAGCTTCTGAAAAACAACAGATAATATAATATTACTTTGCCATTTCGTGTTCACAGGGAGTTTATTATCAATGCACTTAGAGTTGTCATGTGGTTGTTACCTCTTAGTCATAAGGCAGGATTTTCTGATGTCTACAACAACAGCAATTATATTCATTTAAGGCTGCAACCAAGAGTCTTGGGCAATCTTTATGACAGTAAGTATAGATGTAGGTCTGAGAAGTAGTCAGTCAAGTTTGAAACTTAGAAGGTACTATGAAAACACTACCTTTTTCTGTTATTAATTTAAATACAATCAATGTTGTTTCATAAAATATATTTGTCTTGTGTTTGGAACTTTCTAGCAGTCATGATGGCAGTGCCTTCTATGCTGTACATACACCTGCATCTCTCCTTCTAGCCTAAAAAGCTGCCTGTCTGCCATGTTCTGCAGTAGATGCCTTCCTAATTGTTGATGAAGTTAGACAACATACCCAAATGCTATGTTAAGTACTGTACTTGGATCTAAGAGCTAAATAATGAAATATTTAAAACAAATTAATTTTTATAAACAATAACTTTTAGAAAAAGTTATTTTTATAATTTCACAAAAACAAAATATATATTTTATGTACTCACAGCAAAATAAAGGCCTCACAACTAGCAAAACTGCTGGAAAATATTGAAAGATGTGATTTGGAGTAAAGCAAATTTCTTTCTTTCTTTTTTTTTTGTGGTACCGGGGATTGAACTGGGGTCCTTGTGCTTGAGAGGCAGGCGGCGGCACCACTGAGCTAAATCCCCAGCCCACAAATTTATTTCTTACAATTGTTAAAATATAAATATTAAGGGCAGGGGATTTAGCTCAGTGGCGCCGTGCCTGCCTTGCAAGTGCAAGGTCATGAATTCAATTCCCTGTACCGCAAAAAAAAAAAAGAATTCCCCAAAATATAAACATTAAATTTAAAAATCTCCTAGCAACTGCTAGGTATAAAGTACTTCACCAGGCACTGAATTTAAGAATAAAGAGTTATAATGGCTCAGTTGAAAGGTATTCCAAACTTTCTATATATTCTATATTATTTTCATTTTATAGATAATAAGGGTGCAAAGAAATTGTCCACGGTCCCACAGCATACAGGAGGAAGAGGTGGGAGTCAAATTCATATTGATTACCTGTCAAAGTCTGTTTGTTCAACAAGTGTTTCTGAGAGCTTTCTATATGACAGCGTTCTAGGGGCTTGGGACACACCAGGGAAGAAAATGGAAGAAGACCCCTGCACTAGAGCTGCCTACTCTCCCAGAGGGGTGGGGCCAGCTGAACCCCACTGTGCCCTATCCCATCCTGGCCTCTGGAGAAAGGAGGTAAGGCCGCCAAGAATGGGGCCTGGGATTTAGCTCAGTGGAGCCTGTCTCACAAGTGCAAGGTCCTGAATTTGATCCCTGGTACCAAACCAAACCAAACTAAACCAAACCAAACCAAACCAAACCAAACAAAACAAAACCAAACAAAACAAAACAAAAAGAATGGACTCCAACACGTTTCTAGTGGTTTTGATAGCAGCAGAGACTACCATAACCAGAAAGAACATTTTCTAGAGAGCTGTGAGCTGGCTGATTCTCCTCCAAGCTCTAAAAGTGAAGGCTGCAGGACTGGGAATGTAGCTTAGTAAAAAAATTTTTTTAAAGTTCAGGAGGGGCTGAGGATGTAGGTCAATGGTAGAGCCTTAATTAGCAGGGCCCAGGGTTCAATCCCCTGCCCTGCCAAAAACTAAAAAATAAATTTAAAAAAGTGAAGCTTGCAAGAGGGGCTGGGCAGGGAGGGGCTAACCACTGGGTGATCATATTTGGGAAATTTACAAGAATAGAAGTTTCATTTCCCCTCCATGCCAGGTTATTGAAGCTTTGGGTAAATTCTATTCTATCAAATAAGAGAAGAATCCTTTCTTCACCAGCCATGCCTATAATACCTAAGGATGATCAATCATGTTGGAGAAACAAGAGGCTGCTGCAGAAAGTAAACAGTCTTGATTGTAAGACTGGGATTTAAATATCCATTTAGCACATAAAGCCTTGGAAAACTAATTTTAATTAAAAAATGGAGACAGATTCCAGATTCATAAATATTTCTACATGAATTCTATCAAAACTGTATGGTTTGTATGCATATATTATAAGATAATGTTTATTCTAGAAATCAGAATGCTATAGAAAGCTTCATTATTCATTTTACAGACTTCACATAGCATTGAAATAAAAACCTGGATACATAGCACATACAAAAAAAGAAAATTGCATTCAAATATCATTTATTAAAACAAGTGCAAAAAATAAAATATCTGCAATCAATTCTAGTAGTATATTAACAGAATAACCACCACTAACAAAATAGGCTTTTTTCAGTAATATAAATATGGTACAATATTAGGAGAATTATAAGTTAGATGGATCAAAAGAGTAAAACTAGGGCCAGGGATTTAGCCCAGTGATTCCACTGCCTGCCTCGCAAGCACAAGGTCCAGAGTTCAATCCCCAGTACCAAAAAAAAAAGGAGTAAAAGTATAAGATAGCTTTGAGAGAAAATAAAAAGCTACTTGATAAAAGCCCATATTTGTTCCTGGTTTGTTAAAAAACCCAAAGTATCCCATGAAGACAAGATGAGGAATAAACATAATCAAGCAAGACATGATTAAAGCATTTCAAACATTAAAACTTTAGCTACATTTTCATGAAAAACGCAACAATCAAAAAGCTTCAGTATCATTGGTATTATTCATATCTGTTCAGAAAGCTAGCTAATGAATAAGAAAGACAGTCAGACATAGTGGCACACACCTGTACTCCCAGTTGCTCAGGAGGCTGAGGCAGGAGAGTCTCAAGTTTAATGTCAGCCTGGGTAATTTGGTGAAACTCTGTCACAAAATAAAATTTTAAAAGAGATTGAGATGTATCTCAGTGCTTCCTGAGTTTAAATCCCAGTGTGGTATTTTTTTTAAAAAAACCAAGAAATATAGATATTAAGCCAGGTATGCCGGGCATGGTGGCAGATGCCTGTAATCCAGGTGACTCAGGAGGCTGAAGCAGAAAGAAAGCAAGTTTGAGGCCAGCCTGGGCAACTCATAAGACCTTGTCTCAAAAAATAAAGAAGTATGAGGATATAGCTTAGCGATAGAGCATTTGCTTACCATGTGTATAGCCCTGGGTTCAATCCTCAACACACACACACACACACACACACACACACACACACACACACAACATAAATATTAAATATGCTAGATGAAATTTATCATTATAGATGATCTACTTGTCTGGCAGAAAAACCTAGAGTCAGGGAAGAAAACTATTTCTCCCAATAAGAGAGTTCAGAAAGATGTTTCATCAGAGGGTCACTTTCCTGTACCATGTGGAAAAGGTAGGAGAAAAAAGATCTCATTCAAAAGGGCCTTGACTCAGGCCTTTTCACGTGCTCTTTCTTCTGCTTCAAACACTTCCCCTAAATCTTGCACGCTAGCCACTTTCTTATCATTTATTTGTCATCAACTTCCTGTACTGTTGAAAGACCCTTACCTACTCCAGCCCTTAGTAAGACAGCCGGTAGCACTCAACGTTTCCGTGGCGCGGGCTGCCGGGATGTGTGTCACTCGCATGTTTACTTTTCCTTCTGGCTGAGCAGTACACAGACCGAGTTTCCCTGCCAATGTGGCAGGGGGTCAGTGCCGCTTGGAGGACGGGGAGATCTCTCAAGCACAACTCTGCTCCCTTCTCCCTTTCCCATCAATTAAATCAAGACTCCAAAGACCCAGAGGACAAGGAACCACGAGATCAAAGTAAACTTGCTGGAGCCTCCGAGCCTAAGGCGCAGGTTCAAAGAGGACTGCAGCAGGAGCTGCCCAACCAGAAACACTCACGTGGGCCTGTTGCAGGCGAGGGAAGCAAGTTCATTGCTTTCAGGTAAGAACTTTTAGGGTCAAAAATGTGTCAGATATTATGGCACGTGACGAGCACTAAGTAGTTTAGTTTTTGCAACTGCATTTTTACATGAGAAAATAGAGATGTAGTGATTTTAGTACGATTTCCCAAGACTTCTGAAGTAGTAGAGTCAGTTTGTTTTTGGAGTCCACACTCTTTACCATTAGGCTGTACCAACTCATCAGAGGAAAACAGTTTTTAAAAGGAAGAGTAAGGAAAAGGATCTTTCTTATCTTACTAAAACCAAAACATATATACCTATAAAAACAGAAAATAAAGAAGCACAAAAGATAGATACATAGATCAATAGAACAGAACCATAGATAAACTTAAAACAATATGCCCGAAGCATTAATTTTATTTGCTAAATTATTTAATTAATTATCTATTTCTCTATTTTTTGCTTTTTTGAGACAGTCTTACTATGTGGTCCAGGCTGGTCTCCAACTCATGGGAATGCTCCTGCCTCAGCCTCCTGAGTGCTGGGATCACAGATATGTGCCATAGTGCCTGTCTCCAAAGGATTTGTTTTACAAAAGGGCAAAGCAATACAGCAAAGGACAACCTTTTCAATAAATGCTGCTGGAGTAGTTAGACAGCCATAGGCAAAATAAATGAACTTCAACACACAACTTACACCTCATAAAAAAATTAAGTCAGTGTGGATCATGGGCTTAAATGTAAAGCACAGAACTATACCACTTTTTTTTTCCCCATTAAGTTTATTGGTACATTTTCGGTATACAATACAGTTATATTCATCATTGGGATCTTGTACCATTACATGAGTCTCTTGGTTCTTATTTTTTTCCCCCTTCCCTTGCCCTCCCTTCCCTATTTGCAAAGACCTTGTTTCCGTTTTTTTTCCTCTTCTCATATTTTTTCCTTTCTCTTTTTTCCCTTCCCCTACCCCTCCCAATTCCCCTGCTCTTTTAGACCTTTTCTTCCTATTACACAATATCAGTTATACATTTTTAAAATTACAATATCAAGATCTAGGAGACATTACCACAGATTTTACAGAATTTAAAAGGATATAGAAAGCATATTACAAAAATCTTTTTAAAAATAAATTTGACAACTTCTAAGAAGTACTTTAGAAGACAAATTAATGAAACGTTTTAACTCTGGAGGAAATATAAAATTTGAATAGCACCTATTAAAGAAAGTATATTCCTAGCTTGAAAACTTACCTATATGACAACAGAAGGCTCATAAACATTTTAACTGATAAATTATATCAAACAATTAAAGCAGAAAAAAGAAGGAACACTTCTCCCCTCATTTTAGGAACTCAACATTGTGCTAATCCTAAAACTGGATAAAGATAATAGAAGAAAAAAGTATGAACATAGATAGAAATTTGTTTAACAAAACAAACTATTGGAAGTCAGATCTGGCAGTATGTAGAAAGTGGTTTTGTTATAGGCATGGCAGTGTTGGTTCAGCATTGGAAGATCTACCCCCAAAAGTCATCATTTTAACAGAGGAAAGGAAAAAGCCATATGATCCTGTCACTAGTTGGAGAAAGAGTATTGGACTAAATTCTACAGCTGTTCATAGTTAAAGCTATCAGAAGACTAGAAGTAGAACAGAAACTTCTCAACAGATCAAAGACATGTACTCCATACTTCCAACAAAAACTCCTTCTATGAATGGAGACGATACAATGCTTTCTCCCTAAAGTGGGGAACAAGGGCATATATGCCTACTCTTCATCTGTCCATTAGACTTTGAAACATAGGTCTAAACCAAAATAGTCTGGCAATAAAATGATACAACTAGGATAGGATTGGCAAGGTAGAAGCAAAATCTTTATATGTAGATGAAATGATCATCTACAGAGAAAATACTAGAAATCTCTAGGAGCCCCTAGAACTTGTACTTGAATTTAGCAGGATTAGAAAACACAAGGTATATATAAAAATTCAGGTCTGTGTATACTTGCTATAAATGAAGAATTGGATATTGAAATTTAAAAGTTATGTAGGAGTACAAAGGACCTAGAAAAGGTTTTTTTTAAAAAAAAAAAACAGTGTTGGAAGACGTTTAGTTCCTAATTTTAAGACTTCTTCTAAAGCTACAGTAATCAAGGCAGTGTTGGTGTAACTATACCACTTTTAGAAAAAGAAGAAAATCTTCAGGATCTAGGGCTAGGGAGAGTTCTCAGTCTTGACACCAATCAAAATCAATAAAAGGAAAAATTGATGAATTGGACCTAATCAAAATTAAAAACTTCTGTTCTGCTGATAATCCAGTTAAGAAGATGAAAAAACAAGTTATGGACTGGCAGAAAATATTTGCAAATCATATATTCACCAAGGGGGTTGTATCTGTAATGTATAAAGAACTCTCAAAACTCAATAGCTAAAAAAATCCAATTAGAAAATTTGCAATTGGCTGAGGCACCATGTCCTTTAAAAATATGACACCTCACAGCTTCTACTTCTGGGTCCTGTAGCAGTAGAGCTGGCTCCAGAGTTGCTGAGAAAAGGGAGAAAATGAGTTGGAAGTGACCTGAGGCAATGAAGTGATGGAGATAAGAGAGAAGGGAGAATTCAGCCTATGCTGCCCGGATGTATCTGTAGTAGCCAGAGGTGCTTAAACTCTTCTCAGTGGGGAGGGGCTGCTCACCACCTTCTGAAGACTCAAGGGCAAAGCCACCGCTTTATATGTGAAAGTGATACTACCCTGCTAAACCACCAGCCAGTGGGGTATTTTTAAAATATTCTCTGTTGCAATCATAATTACTACTCATTAAAGAAAATTTAGGAATTTTAAACAATCAGCTTGCTACTCAAATGCTACATAGCAGTGTTAATCTTTTGGTATTAAATGTTCCTCTAGACATTTCTGTGCATAATTTTTTGGTGTGTTTACATAGTTATTATTATACTGTACATACGATTTTATGTTCCTTTTGTACTTAACATAAACATTTTTTCTATGTTACCAGTCTTTAAAAAAAAAGAAAATTTGCAGTTGGGAGGTGGAGTCAGGAAAAATCTCAAGTTTGAGACTAGCCAGGGTACCTCGCAAGACCCCACCTTTAAAAAAAACAAAAAAATACACTCCCCCAATTTCACTTATGGACATTTATCCCAGACAGGCAAAAACTTAATTTCACACAAAAACCTACACACAGTTGTTCATAGCTTTACCCCTAACAGCTCCAAACTAGAAACAACCCATATGCCTTTCAACAAGTGAATGGTTAAACAAACTCTGATCTATCCATACCATGAAATACTTCTCAGTAATAAAAGGAACAATTGGATGGATCCCTAGAGAACTGAGTTGAAAAAAAATTCTCAAAAGGTTACATACTTTATGATCCATTCATACAACAATCTTAAAATGACAACAAACAACAACAACTGGGCATAATGTTTCATGACTGTAATCCCAGAACTCTGGGAGGCTGAGGCAGGAAGATCATAAGTTTGAGCCCAGCCTGGGCAATTTAGCAATGTAGTGAGACTCTTGTCTCAAAGTAAAAAGGGCTGGGGATGCAGTTCAGGGCTTTTGGGTTCAGTCCCTTGTTGGAGTCGGGGGACAACAAAGAGATGGAGAACAGTTTTTAGCTTTTGCAAGAGTTAGGATTGGTTAGGATTGGGGACTGGGAGGAGAGATGATGATGGGGCAGACTGTGTTTTGTTTGTTTGTTTTGTTTTTTTGTTACAGGGGATTGAACTCAACTTAGCTATCTCCCCATTCATTCATGCATTCATTTATGTAAGACAGGGTCTCACTAAGTTGTTACATTGCCCAGGTTGGGTTCAAATTTTCAATCCTCCATCCTCAGCCTCCCAGAGTGCTGGGATTTCAAGTGAGTGCCACTACCCCCAGCTTGTGACTGTGACTGTGATTATATGACTGTTTGTATGTACTGAAACGGTATAGAACTTTTACACCAACACGAGTGCATGTAAAATTTAGAATCTGAATAAATTGGATGAATTGTATTAATTTTAATTTCCTAGGTATTGTATTATAGTTATGGGAAATGTTACCACTGGGGGAAAGTGGTTGAAAGATACAGATTATAAATTATAATCTATAATTATTTAAAAATAATTAGTGGAGAAAATAATTAGTGGAAGCTAATAAAATGAAATTTTAGGGTACCTATCTGGTATGCCAGACCTTTATCAAACTATCTAGGGTGCTCTTTCCAATGAGTAACAGGACATTTTTATTTTTAAACACACTGTGGGGAGACATATTAAGTTGACTGTCCCATCTAGAATGAAAATTTTCTCTAGGTGTAATGGTAAATGCCTGCAATCCCAGCACTAGGAGGCTGAGGCAGGAGGACCACAAGTTTGAGCCTAGCCTGGGCTACTTAGCAACTCAGCAAGAACCTGTCTCAAAATAAAAAAGGTCTAGGGGTGTAGCTTATGGCGAAGACTCTGGATTCAACCCCCAGTACTAAAAAGAAAAAAGTGGGAGAATTTTTTTCAATTCTAAATTATAACTATCATGCCACCGGGAACTCTTTATCTTTCTAGCACAGACAGAAATAGTTTGTCTTTAGCAATGGATGCCTGCAAAGCAACACTACTCTTCCAGTTTGACCACAGCTGCCTCCACACAACTTCCTTAGGTATCACAAACACAACCAAGCACCACGTTTCCCTTAAATTTTTTTCTATTAAATTATATTAGCAATTTCATATAAAAAAGAAAACATGTTGAAAAATTATTGCTCTGTAAATGAACTTGATCATTAAGTCCAAAGATCACTGAGCAGGGCTGGGGATTTAGCTCAGTGGTCAGGGTACCAAAAAAAAAAAAAAAAAGAGCAAAGATCACAGAGCATTGATAATAAACTTCTCAGTCTTCTAAATGTTTGTTTTTAAGGGAATGTTCATGTTTCCTTTCAGAGATGGTACCAATCAAGTGCTTGGTCTCTTTCTCTCCAGCA